AACAGGTATCATTTCCCATCGCTCTGTGTTGTTGTGACCATGACCCTTACTTACCGACTTGTCCTCCTTTAAAACCACGCCATGCTCATTCCATATGTATCTCACCTCACTTGTAAGTGACATGCTTCAAATACACATACTAAAAACGATCATATATTAAGTGAGATATCAATTTTGGTGTCTCATGTTAGATTTACATGTGAGACCTCCTCGTATTTAAAAAATAATATGAAACTAGAACTTTGTGGATTATAATAAAATCACTTTGCCAAATTAATTACATTATAGTCCCCTATATTCTAATAATAACACAATTTTTTTTAAAAAATATAACAAGTATAACTAATGTTCCGTTTGATAGTAATGATAGAAAGTAGGAAAGATGAAAAATAAAAGAAATACACTTTATATCCTTCAATGATGAGAAATAAGAATGATACACTTTTTTTCATTTGTGTTTGGTTAAATGGATGAAAAATAAAAATGACTATTTTTTTTGTGTGCTCGTTAAAATTAGGCGTGACAATCGAGTCGTGTTGTGTCAGATTCATGTTGAGTCATAAAATTATGAGTCTTTTATATTTCTTGTTCGTGTGTCAAGTCATTTTTAAGTTCGTGTCGAGTTATAATCAAATTTGTGTCATAAAATTCGTGTCAAGTTAAAGTCGTGTCATCATGTTGAGTCGAAAATTTTCATCCCTAATTAAGATGAAAAAAATAATTTTTTTAATTTTAAATTTTTTTTAAAAATATATATATATATATACATACATATTTTATTATTGTATTTTTATGTGAAATTAATGTATACATAATATATAGACAAATAAGATACATTTTAACACAAATAATTAATTTTTCATCCACTTTTCTTCCGATTTTAGAGAGATTAATTTTGGTGTATTAGAAGAAAAATTATTTCATCTATTTTTCTATCTTTTATATTTTATTTTCTTATTAAATATAATATTTTATTTATTTCTCGTAACTTTTCAGTCCTCTATTTTTTTATCGTACCAAACACGACTTAAGCGTTAGCAACAGATCAAAGTCAGACATGTTCAGCACTCAACAGATTGTGCCCCATGGGCCAGGTGGGCCCGCTTGTAAAATGGTCATTCCGGGGTTCGTCCATCGTATCGACAATAATGTCTGTTTAATAGTAAACTGGCGTAGCGAGGCCGATCCTTTTTTATAAATTTATTTTGATTTCTATTATCCAAAATATCTTAAATAATTATATTTAATCAAAATTTATTTGAAAAAAATTAGAAACTCCTAAATTAGAAATTGTATTAGTGTTAATAACTCATATATTAAAAATTGTGCTAACATTAAAATTATGTTTATATATATATATATTAAACAGTAACACGCTCAACAAAAAAAATAATAACATCAAACAGTAACACATTCAATAAAAAAATAGTAACATCAAACAATAACATATTGTACCAATGTGGGATGAGTGATAAAAGTTACTAAGTGTTCACCCAAGTCAATTAGAATGGAAGAGAGGAATTCCCCTTACATACGTAAATTAACTTGAACAAATGTAATCGGTGGAAAAAAAAAAGGGCAACCAGGTCAGAACCATTTGCAGGGGAATGTGAATGGGTGTACAATTCAATTCATGCTGATTCACTGTCTCCACCTTTGTCACATGGCAAAGGCCTCTCTCTCTCTCTCTCTCTCTCTCTCTCTCTCTCTCTGTGTGCATGTGTTCCCCATGTGCATGCTCTATTTGCGCACTAGGCACCCTCGCTAAATCTCTGAGGAAATTGCTGGCCAATGCCAACACATTCACATGCGCCCTCTAGGGAGACCACACCACACTCCCCACTTCCAGTACAAAACAACTGCACTTTTCAGCTAAATGACTGATTTGCCCTCTTAACGTAACATGACGACAACCATAAGGGTGGATTAGAATAAGGATGAGATTAACACACAATTTGCAGACTTGAGCTCAGTCCCAGGACTCCCAACCAGTTTGGAGAATAAACATCTTGTTGGACCTGTTAAGGAATTGGGCCCACGCTATTTCAAAAAAATCCGATACAATCTTAACTATAGTAATTTATGAGACAAAACTCTAATAATAAATGATCATAAATGAAGTGGATAAAGATTGATTATATTTTTTTTTGCTTGTGGAAAAAAGGGTGAAGTCAAAAGAGAGCACTCAGAGATCACCCCTATAAATTTTTATTGGTGGGATCATGAGACCCTTAATCGTTTTTATTACTCCTATCGTGAACGAACCTAGTTAGGCTTAACATAGCGATCAATCATCGAACTTTAATATAGACTCCAAGATTTGAATCTCTAATTTCATAATGAAATATTCAACCGATACTCCACTAAATTATTCCACTAGACGATAAATTAATTATAATTTAACACGATAAAATTAACTCACTGTAAAACCGTCCTTGATGCGGGCATTTTGGGCAAACATATTAATAAAGGCCCCGAGCTTTCAACATGTGCCGTTGCAGCTCAGCAGGCTTTCTCTGGCAAAGCCATCTTACTGCTATAATTGCTCAGAGTGAGATACGAAAATCTGAATAAAATTACTTCTCATGATCGAAACTGGACCCCATGTTCACATTGTAACGATCTGGACCATCCAATCTATTGGGAACTGCATACCACATATTTTGTTGATTTTGTGTCCTATCATGTGTGATGGAACATATACATAATATTCATATTCATGACAACCGCAAAAGCATGTGATTTGGGTATTTGAGCAATTTTTTTTTATTTGTAACCCTAATTTATTATCCATACCAGGGTGAATCTGTGTAAACTATGTTTTTTTTAGTTTTGGTTAAACAGGAGAAATGGTTAAAATATTTATTATTATTGAATATAAGTGGATAATTAAAACATCAAATATAAGAAAAATATTGTGGTTAAAAGATTTTTTTTACCCAAAGTATAGAGAGGAAGACCAGATATGAAATTTCTACAAGGACTTAACCATAGTAATCTTTATTCGTCGGGAAAACCCTCTACAAGGGGGGCTTAGACGGGGGAGCCCGCAGTCACTCTCTAATGTTTTGTTTTGTACAATAAAAAATGGAATGATAGAAAGTTAGAGGTTGAAGAGATATACATATATAAAGTAACTTACAATTCAAAATTTAAAAAATAAATAAAATGACTTTTATTTTTTGCAGTTCAGATCGTTTTAAATTTTATTTTAAAATTAATCTAACGGCTAATATTAACACCCTAAATTTAATAGAAAAAATAAGCCCATAAAATTGTGTTTGAAATGACTTTTTAAAAATATTTTTAAGAATTATTTCTCATAAATATTTTTAAAAAAAGTAATATTTGAAACCACCCCACCACCACCGCCGATACAACCCCGTCGTCGCCACCACCACGCACCACCACCGCCGATATAACCCCGTCGTCGCCACCACCACGCACCACCACTGCCGATACCACCCCGTCGTCGCCACCACCAAGCACCACCACCACAACAACTGCCACTATTGCTGTTACTGCCACTATGGTCATTGTCACCTGCCACAACCATTACCGTTTTTTACAATCACCACTGTTACCCACTACCTTTCACTCTTATTACAACTGATGCTTAAATTCATTTATCTCTTCTCAATGTTTGTGATTTGATTTTGGATATGAATACAAATATGTTTATTGTTTATTATTTTTTATTATTCTGTGTCTTCAGGCACATGTAATAACTAGTATATATATATATATATATATATATATATATATATCATATTTATCAATTACATATTATGTATATATAAATTTCATATATAAATATAATGATAAAATATTTATTTATATATTTTTTAATAAAAAATAAAAAAATACTTTTTTATCTTATAAAATACAAAAAAAAAAAAAAATTTAATCCTTCATACTTTCCATCTCCTCTTACCAAACACAAAAGAAGAAAGGAAGGATTCTTTTTTTGAATGATAAAAAATATATTATTCCTACTTTTCATCTTTCTATTTTTTCATTCACCCCTACCAAATAGACCATAAGGAAACTTGAGTTATAGTCAAATATCAATTCCACCAAACCACTAAAAATAACTCGACAGTCTAATCCTCATGAATTAAAACCTCTAACATAATCCTTGAAGGCCTCAAGCAAAACACATACCTTTGGTGTTGTAGTTAAAAGGTTAAAACGTAAATAAGAAGATAAGTCATTATATCTAAATAATTTGGACCATATTGTTGTGTTTTTCTAAGTCAGGAGGTTAAGAAATTTACTTAGCATACTTTGTTTTATTAATATAGATTACATCTGCATTTGTGTATGATATAATATTATCTGTTATTATTAGTCTATAGATGTTGGCTAAATCTAATGGAATATTTAACAAAAAATACACTTACTATACAAATTAGGCCACAAAACTTGAATTGAATGAGATGTCAAAGTGGTTGCAGCACAATAAAGTATAATTGCTGACTAGAAATATATCGTACGATCAAAAGAGTTGGTTCAATGCCATATATTACTTAATTTCAAAAGAAAAGGTCACATGATGGAATGTTGCCAACTTATTAAAGCTAACTTTGGGAGACTATCATTTATATAGAGATTTATATGATGAAAGAATTTATTTTCATAAGTATTCTAATTTTAGTGTAGATTATTTGTCTTTAATTAGATCAAAAAAAAAAATTAATCAAAAAATATATGTAAATTAATCTAAACAGACCTCTGTGGTGTATAAGGTGCGCGTATTCTAGTACTATGCTTATTATAATTGAATTAACATTGAATGCAAAAACTTTTTAGTTTTTGCTCCAACAAAAAACAAAAAACAATGCCCTTTTTTTTAAGAAAATATCCTTTTTCCAAAAAAGGGCATGAAACATAAATTTATAATAAAGAATGGCATTTCTGTAGTTCCGTGGACAGCAAGTGGCAATATTCTAAAACTCCATTATTTAATCCCCAAAACTCCTCCGCTTCACCCGCTGTACCACGCATCAAATTAAAGGCTCTCTCTCGCCATGGGTTCTAAGCATGAGAGCCCGAAGAATGCGACCACGAGAAGAAGGAGAAGCAGATCATCAAACTCTCACAGAAGATTTTGCAGACCTAAAAAAAGCTCAAACACAGTCGTCAATGACAGAACAGGTTCGAGTTCTTCAGTTGCTGAAAAGCTTAAGGCTCTGAGGAACCTCATACCAGCTGCCGCTGAGAATAAGGGGGAGATAAAAGGCGACCAATTGTTCCAAGAAACTGCCGACTACATTCTTCTTCTACGATCCCAAGTCCTGGTTTTGCAGAAATTGGTTGATTTTTATGGGTCTTGTGAGGGCCAAAAAGCTGTATCATAGATTCACAGTAGCTCCTTCATTTTTTTTTTTCCATTTTCCTAATTACTAGTTAGTTTTTTGTGCACTGTACCGTTCGGATATTCTCTCTTCTCTCTCTCTCTCTCTCTCTCTCTCTCTCTCTCTCTCTCTATGGGTTGCTCGAGCGTACAAGCCAGGCCAGGGTGGGTGGTGTCCCCTGACAGTCAATTGTAAACTGCAAAGCCATGAGCGTCATTGAACGTTATTAGAGGAGAGTCGGTGATTACAGGGAAGGAAAGGTGGTGACCTTCTGATAGATATGTCACATGGTAGCTGATTGTCTATCTCGGTGAAATAGACAGCCGTGCCCATCTTCTTCTGAGTAAAATTGCAGCTACAAATTATTAAATGATGCGGGGTTAAAAAAGAACGTGTGCAGAATTAAAAAAGATCCCTCGTTTCAGAGCCTATGTTTATGATCAATATTATACAACGTTGGTTCAAACTTGTACTGGAATCAGATTCAGTTATACCTGGTTACAATGAGGATTAACCGTTGTCCTAATCGTCATTGCAATCCGCTGTTGGGTCAGCAGGACGTGGATTTGAATTTCATTGTTCTTATAAAAATTCAAAAACAATGACAAAAAAAAAAAATTAAATATATATATATATATACACGTCTGGTTACATAACTCGAGATGAAATTCAGGTTGAAGTTAGGATTGGGAATTGAATTCGAGATCTCAATTCAAGTGCTATTGAAATTTGGGGGGCGTTGTAAATTTTTTTCCAGGTACCACTGGAATTTGAAGCTTTGAAGTTAGGTTTTGGAAATCGGGTCTATGGGGCTGGGTCAGTTTGAACCCAACCGCAAAAGATGAGTTATGGCCCATGAGATGGTCACAGGCTATTTTTAAAGTCTCATAAATTGTATTCAGACCATGATGAGAACGATACATATCATATATAAAAGCAACATTAAATTGAACTGCAAAAATTAAAATGCAAACTCAACTTGTGGAATTGTCTACTAGCAAATCAAACATGGATAGAGAATTGGACAACTTCCACCGCTTAATTATCATAAAATTCAGTCAAGATTGTTCATAGCAGCCTCAACTACTTTTCTTTTCCCTTCGTCCATTCAACGAAATTGTTGAAACTTTTGTGTGAGTCGCCACTTTTTTTGATACCATTCATGGCCTTCTCTTTCAGATCCAATGCCTTAGCCTTGAAACTTTCATCCCCAAGCAATTGCTCCACTCTATTCTTGATTTCTTCACGACAGATGATTCCATTGTCATCTCGGTTGAATCCTAATCCAACCTTCCAAACATCACAAATGTATGTCTGGTTAAGAAATTGATCAGCAAAATAAGGCCAACACAGGAGAGGGAGTCCATTGCTAATACCCTCCACGGTTGAGTTCCAACCACAATGGCTTAAGAAACAAGCAACTGACGGATGATTTAGGACGTTCTGTTGGGGTGCCCAACCTACTATTCGTCCTCTACTACCTACTCTTTCTATATACCCTTTTGGGTATACATCATCGTCGTTGGTCTCGCTAGTTAAATCTGGCCGCACAACCCACAAAAATGGCATGTTGGTGAGTTCAAGCCCTAAAGCCAATTCTCGAAACTGTTTCTTGTCAAAAATTGTGAAACTCCCAAATGCAACGTAGATTACAGAGTGGGGTTGCTGTTGATTGAGCCATTTTAGGCAAGTTGAGTCTTCTGGCCAGAAGTAGCCTGGTGACTTTCCAAGCCGGGTGCTTGCCAGCAATGGGCCTATGGGTGAGATATCTGGAAATAGGGTAAATGCTGCTGGCTCTAACTCATAAGTTGAGTTACAAACCATCCAATTTGCCAGTTCCAATGATTTGTTATTTCCTACAATAAAATCAAAAATGATTTTCTGTGTGGGCAAGTCGCCAATGCAGGCCCATACTAAATTTGAAGTGTTCATGGGTGGCATGGTTGGTGACAATTGAATCATTTGGTTCGTCATGACCCTTCCTGTATTGGAAATTTCACAAAAGACATGCATGAGAGACCCTACAGCTGAATTCTTAATCATTTATAGTGGTACTATTTAGTAATGACTGTCATAGAAGAATCAGAATTTAGTGATCACAATATGACTCACCATCGTTGTTTATGATCCCATCGGCAATTAGCTTTGGAATGCTGCGTACCAAGCCCAACAAAGCGGCTGATGCAGGCCAAAAGGCTGCTCTCTTGATTCCCATGTTCTTGGCAATTTCTAGAGCCCACCCCATACTACCATCAGCTATAATACAAGTGATTTCATCATCATCATCATCGTCATTGTCCTTAATCTTTTGTATGAGCTCCTGCAGCTTCCCAGGCATGACCTCCACCATTGCTGTCGATAATTTGGCCAAGTCATTTCTATCCTCCCATGGTTCCAATCCGTCTGGGACCGAAACCAGATGTATCAGATCATGCACATTGTCTTGCTCCGACAATGCCTTCATGACCCGCTTGTGATTAAACTCCGTGTTCACAAATGTAACCTTGAAACCCTGATTGACTAAGCTTAGCGCGAATTCCATCAATGGAAGTACATGACCTTGTGCTGGATAGGGTATAGCAATAACATGTGGGTTGCCCATGATATTTTGTTCTTTTCTCTCTCAGACATTTCCTACGTTTATAGCAAGAGGGCCTATGTGAAGGTGTTGTCCATTTCCCCAGATGCTTAGGCAGAGTTTCATAGTTGGGATCTAGGTGGTTTTTGTTTTATTTGCTTTATTAATATCCCTCTCTCTTTTTTTTGGCTTCAGTTTCACCGATCAATTTCTGTTGTTTTCAATAATATTTTGTACTTGCGTCTAATTATATTGTCGATTTTTTGTTGGAAGATAATAATGTAGCTATGTGCCATTCGGCTTCTTGATCTGTTTATCCGGCTGCCTATATGGTTTCACAAACTACAAACTAATCAACCAAAAAGAAAGAAAACGCATAATATCAATTCCTACATGTTCAACGACATAGGGATCTAATTTAAAAACATAATTAGAGACTTAATGTAATGAAACTAGCCATTGAATTAGAAATAACTTAGGGTATTAATTTTAATCTGTCAACACGAACCTGACATGACATAATTTTAAAATTGATACAATTATTAAATAAATATAATAAATAGTCAATTAATATTTAACACTTAGGTTCTAGATCACACAATTCGTGCCTTTACCTCAACAAATTTATGCTCGAAGCGAAAATTCCCTGATTAAGAGTGAATTCGACACAAATTCGCAGATTCAAAAAGTTGAATCTGCAAATTCAATGTATACAATCCTCAAATCTAAGTACTTTCGGGATTTTCTTCACAATTTTACAAAATTTTTAACTTACTATTGAGTGGGACCTTAACCCAATTGAAACTTTACTTACATTCAAATGTACTGGGCCTCAAGAAAGAGCACAACTGCTAACAAATTAGAAGGAGAGCGATCATATTTTATAGGGTGATTTGAAAGTCGATACAATTTTTTAGATTTATTTGACTAAAAATACAACACAAAATCTTATTTAGGTTAATGTGCATATTTTTAAAAAATGACAATATTGTCATTCAGTAAATAGCTCATGGGGTTGACACCCTTTGTATTCCTTTCATATATTTTGGCTACAATCAAGCAATGAGCGGTAAAATAAAGGCATATTTTTTCTAACATTTCTCTTTCTCTCTCTATTTTTTCTTACTCTATTTATATTAATATTACGACAACATAATTATATTAATCAATTATAATTGTCCTATAATATACCAAACAGTTATTCATGCGTTTTAATAAACCAAACAGTTACACAAAATTATGACATCAACCCAATTTGTTATTTAGTTGTTTACATAAACTAAATAGTTGTATCATTTAGTATGACGGTATCTTTACACCATCATGCCTTAACAATTGTATGAGACTGTGGTTGTTACACCCATTAAAAAAAATAGTTACACCCATTAAAAAATAGTTACACCAATTAAAAAATAATTACACCCATTAAAAAGCAGTTATACCCATTGAAAAGCAGTTACACCCATTAAAAAAATAGTTACACCTATTAAAAACTAGTTACATCTATTAAAAAAAATAAAGAAGTTATTTTTTCCCTACATCCCAATAACGAACAATCCATAATATCTAACAAAACATCTTGACATATTCTTTTTTTTTTTTTGGCAAAATTCAGTATTTATTTACATATAATTTGTGGCATTCTAATTAAATTTCATTGTCATAGGATCCTATTGCCGAAGAAGAAGGGTTTTGATAATTAATGCTCTTATTTTACCTCTCATTACTATTGTTAATCTTTACATATTTATTTCCTCGAATAAGATTTTTTGAGTGTGAATAAAATTTTTTAGACTTATTTGAGGAAAAGTGTATGAGTAAGTTGTTTACTCTATTAAGTTTGATTTAATAAAACATATTATATTTAGGTACAAAATTCAAATGAAAGCAAAACTGTTTTACTTAAATATCATCATTTAAATTATGCATTCTTGATTGACAATTATATATCTAATTAAATATGTAAAGATTTCATTAGATTCTTTCACTATCTATCCCCTATTTTCTTGTCATCTCTCTCTTCTTTCCCATGACTTTCTCCATCACTATATCTATCATTGATAATTTATTTTTTTATCTCCCTCTCCCTCTATTCTCTCTCTCTATATTTATATCAACATTACAACAATACAATTACACTATTCAATTGCAATTGTCTTATAATACATCGAATAATAACATAAATTTATAACACTACTCAATTTGTCATTCAGTTGTTTACATACATTAAATAGTTGCACTATTTACTATCGCGATATCGTTACATCAATTATATATATCAAATTTAATATAATGGTAAAATTTTTTGTGTTATAATAAACCCAATTTAGTGTATATTTTGTGATACTAAATGGTATAACTTTTTAATTTATGTAAATAATTGAATTAGAAATTAGGTTGACATTGTAATTTCGTATAATTGTTTATTATAACTATTTGGTTTATTAAAACACATGAATAACTATTTGATGTATTATATAGTAATTGATTAGTGTAATAATATTATTATACCGTTAATATAAAAAGAGAGAAGAAATGAGAATAAGAAAAAAAAAAAAAAAGAAGTGATAGAGAAAAAATAGAGGTAGAGAGAAATATATAAATTAAATAAAATTTTTACATATTTAAAAAATAAATAAATTATTAATATAAATAAAAAAAGAATAGTGAAAAGAGTGAAAAAGTAAGGGAAAGAAAGTTATTGAGTAATAATTATCCTTTTAATTTTTTTTTAAAATACACTTAAAACCAAATAAATACTTTTAATATAATTAACTCAAATAAATCTAGAGATCATTTGGTAACGTTTTTTTTTTTGCGTCTTCAAAAAACAAAAAATAGAGACAATTTTTTGTCTCTGTTTTGTGGTAAACACCGAAACAAAAAACATGTTTGATAACTATCTCAAATTTTATCCTAAATATGTTTTATAATATCTCATTTTTAGTTTTCAAACAAATTAACACATTTTTTTGCCTGTTGCTATTCAAATGTCATTCATCTCAATCCCAATCCCAATTCAATCTCAAATGACAATTCAATCCCACCCCCCAACAGTTTTTTTTTAGAAAGGAGAAAATTTTACTTCCAAAAAAGAAAGAATTACAAGAAGTAAAGAACAAGTTGTTCTAAAAATATGAAAAATGACTTTAATCCTTCAAGATGGATTAAACTTTTTCTAATTACATTTTGGAACAAAAGCCTCTAAATCTGTAAAAAAAAAAAAAACTGTCTGCATACCCAACTCCATACTTCAGATCAGAGTAGTATAGACCAATGCAAAATAGATTAGACCAATGTAGTCCAAATGCAGAGAGAAATACAGAAGCAAATCAAGCCATACAAATTTCACAGACCAGCCGCCCAGAATTCAAAGCATACTCACAGCACCTAACGCCTTCTTCTTAATTCACTGCCATCAGACATATCCAATCATTATCCACACGCAGAAAACATTGCCCAGATAGACAGTCTTTCAATCCAAAACCAGCTGCAATACTGCACCATTATCATCAACCAACCCCTTGTCTTTGATCACAGACAATCACCTTCTTCAGTCTAGTAGGCATCATGCTTTGATCTTTTTGCAAAAGCAATCTCCCAACAAGTGGCAGTATACTATCTTCAGAAAAAACATAACATCTACCTGAATTGACAGCAAAAGAAGCTAAAAAGTCAGCTATACCATTGGCCTTTATGTACACATGGTTCAGCTGAAAGTGCAAACCATGGAGCAAATTCCAAATTTTCTCTAAAATGCTCTTAACCCTTCAAAGAACCTCTGCTTGGCCCAATATCATCTAAACCAAAACCTTGGAATCAGATTCAAGAA